TAGTTTATCCTGACAGGCTGCAACTATATGAATGTTTACACTGCAGTGATAAGATCCAAAATATGTTAAGAGAGAGAGAGAGACATTTTGATGCTTTTCCTACGAAGCCTTTTAAGACTTGAGGTCTCTTGCAGACGTTGTGAGCCCTTTAATGCAAACATTGCACACGTCTGCATTTCTGCCCACTTTTCCTGAAGAGATTGCCCACAATTCACAGCGGTGTGACTTGAACATGACTGTTTGTTGGGCTGTTCATCCCAATATCTGTTTTATTATTATCTGGATTGTACTTCAACACAGTTACTATTTGGGGTGATACTAGATCTTATGAAAGTGTGGAGCCACTTCATTGGGATGGAAACAGCTGCTGCTGTAGCTTCATGGTGCCATTTTCTATTATGAGATTGAGTGATAATGTTTTGTTGTTGTTTGGGTCAGTCACAGGTGACAACATCATCCTTTTCCAAGGAGCCGACCTACAGTGACACACCTGACTCTTGCTGTCTGTGTGTGTCTGTGTGTGTGTGTCCACTAGTTGTTCAGTTACACAGCGAGATCAGATTGCATCATTTGGGCTCTCCACCGCACTCTGTCCATCTGTCTCTCCGTCTTTCTTTCACTCCCAGTTCTTAGTCACCCCGGTAGCTCTCATCTCGCACACTTTGTCTGCCCGCTGCACAGTCATCATCAGCTTATTCTTTATTTTTTTCTTGTTTTTTGCCCTGTCGTTCAACCTTGCTGAGGAAGACAGTGCTTAAAAGAGTGTTTTTCTTTGAGCAGACGGGGACGTTTAAAGCGTTACGGCTTCCAATGCTCCAAAATGTCCAAAAAGTGCAGCAAATCCTTAATTCTTAGCAGCATGTACACTTCTGCAGGGAAAGAAACGATGCTTAGGTAATATAAAGGAGGTGGTTAGCTTTCAATAACTGTTAGTTCATGCTAAAATAATAGCAAAGATAACTCTCCTCTCCTCTCTTTGCCATTTATTAAGCCCTCATTCCTCGTGCCTGCTGGTGTTTCTGGATGTGAGAGCAGCTTCAGGCTCATTGCCACAGCACAGAGCCATATTCATACAATGGAGTCCTTCCAAAATCCTCCATCCCATCACACACGCAGGCTCGCACTGCAGCAAACCGTCCCACTGTCACGAGCACACATTTAATTATTCAGTCACTAATTATCTCGTACACCCGGTTACGTAACCACGGTATCTTTTGTGAGGTGAGGCGAGAAGAGGCTCGTAAGGAGAACTCTGCTGATGCAACTTCTCTGCAGCGTCTGAAACTGTTGGAATAAAAAATATCTAGTTTAGATCCAAAGATGAGATCAACTTTGATTGATTTTTTATTTTCTTTAAATATCCTTTCATCACTGTAGAGGATTGCTGGCAGTTGATGTGTGAATCTATTTTTGTTAACCCCACTTTTTTCTTCAATTTACAGTATGTTCTTTAGTTTTATACCTGTGTGTCCCCTCTCTCCTCACAACAAGCCGTGAGGCTGTTTCTATTTCTAAATACTTTGGTCTGGTGGTTGTGTGACACGTTTGTTGGTTTTGTATACTAATATCTTAGTAAAGCCTTACACCACGTTCGCTGCCTACAGTCGCATGGAGCCACGTGATTACTGTTGACATACGTTGGCATTACAGCGGTTGCGTCTGAACCCTCGTGGAGCGTCATTGTGGTCATCGGTTAACTCCGGGCTAGCCCGGGGACTGCATGCTGTGCGGGGGGGGGGGCATCACCATTCTCACCACGGTCCCCGTCCTTAACGTGTCTGAACACGGGATGTGACTTTGTGCGCCGCGTGCCTCCGACATCATGGAGTTTCCATGCTGCGCGCTTCTCATCCCAGAGATAGCAGCTTTGATATTTCACACCGCTCGCTCGCTCGCAGGGGTTCCCCACCCACCGCCCCTCCTGACCATAGATGGCCTCTGGAGAGAGTTCATCTGATTGTCCAAAGGTCAAATCTCCAATGGTTCATGCTGCGTGAAGGTCAAGGAGCGTGACTGTAAACTAATGCAATTACTATACAGGAAGCTGACGTGTTTTGCTTTGCCTGCTGTTTTCCAAACATTGCCACATTTCTGAACGAAGCACCAATGTTAAAAGTTGATAGTCTCCTGGAGCAGTACTTTCTAGGTGGAAAACTAGCTTATGCAAACTTTTGATGCAATTATAAAAGTCCACTTCTGGGTTTACGTTTACCAGGCGGCTGGAACACAATGCGATACGCCTGTGTGCTACAAACGAGGTTAAGCACCCACATAGACAGCCAGCTTGATGTTTATTCTAGCAAAGTGTTGAATCAGGTTATTCCTCACGGAAAATTCCAGAAACGCCAGCGGGTGTCTGTTGATCTTTTAAAACATTTTGATCATAGAAGTTTGCTTTGCAAATCATTTCTGTTTTCAGAAAGCTGGAGCTTTGTAAGTCAACTGTGAACGGGCAGCAGAGGAATGCTGCGTTACTTTAGTGGCTTACATCTGGGGCTTCCCTTCCTGTGAGATAGAAGGTCTGTCAGATCAATCTTGCAACGTCATACCATTGTTGGAACGAGCATCTGTGGGTCTGCAGGAAGGAGCCACTTCCATGTTCGGCCAACGTTCCCTCTCTGCACCAGCAGCTGGTTTTTGTCTTCTCTCGTTTGTGAAGAATTTCCCTTATGAATGGGCGCAAACGCAAACAGTTGAACTGTCACAGCAGATGATTGATGTTCACCACCATTTATTTTTGCCTATTTGTCATGAGCGGAATGATACTTCATAAGACCAGTACTTAAACTTTCCATTGCACACACACACAGCCAGCAGAACGGAGTGACATGACACCTCTAACTTTAGTCTCCTTCTGTGCCGCTCTGGATAATCCAGTTAGGATGCGCTACCAGGACGTCTCTCTGTCCCGCCTTCAGCTGCGTGAAGAACAGACTCCGGCTCTAGTTTTTCCTGGACTCCAAACCCAGAATGAAATATTATCAGATTGTTGCGCGTGCACTGCAGGATCTCCCCCCGTAAACAAGCACACATTTACACAACGGCAGCACATCCCGTGTGCGTTTGTGTGCAGGCTGATAGCGTGAGTGTGTTTTTGTGTTAGTCCGACGTCGCGGTGGGGCGGAGGGGGGGCACCGGCTGATGACACCACCCACAGTAAGAGTAGTGTGCTTGATGACAGCCTGGCAACTATAATTGTCGTGACAACCCAGAGGAATGAGCCGTCGTGTGACTTCTTCCTCAAAACTGGGGGCAATGGAAAAATAAAGCACTTACTCACACAGCAGACACACACACACACACACACACAGCAGACACACACAGCTGTGCCAGCGAGGGGAACCCTTCAGAAACATGTCTGGCATGCTGGGGGATTTGAGAGGGGGAGCACAGGAGGGATTTGAAACAGACAACAGGCCCTCATCGCCTCCCTTCTGAACCACCGTCCGTGTTTCCATTCCACCCTTTCGAATGTCCTTCCAGGAGGGACATGAAGAGTGGGGACATGTGAGAGGAAAATGATCTTCTGTTTGCCTACAAACCACGTCTTGTCTGTCCGCCCGCCTTTCGCTCTTTCGATATGTAGTTTCCAAAGCTGTTGCTTGTTTCTGGGGTACGTAAAGTAAAACACCGGTACACCAAATAGTGAGCTGTTGATTCCGTGTAATTGGACCCTGAGACGTTCTCTCCTCACCCGTCCGTCCATAAGGAAAGCCAGATCTGGGTGTGACACGCAGCGCTGAGATATCTTCTCTCTTGTTTTGGAACGTCCAGGGATAGCCATCACGGGTTCGCCAGCGCTCTGACGTCTACAGCGCACATTCCCACACACACACACACACACACACACACAGCAGACACACTCTATCACTTGTCCAGTGTATTTGGAACATGCTTCTCTTGCTTTGCAATGTTCTAATTCGTCTGCTGCTGGTGTCTCGTTTTCACTTTAGTTCTGCGTTTATGGTTATTCGTGCATGTCTGATAGACATATATCTCCTTATTTATATATATATATATATATATATATATATATCCTTATATATCTCATTACAAGACAATAACATACAAGTATTGAATTAAATGTGTGTGTTAGGCTGTCTTTCTCCTTCTCACATACACACAGACAGACACACCTACACGTGCGCAGCAATAATTAGCTGGAGCAGTTAGGTGATAACAAGCGCCAGCCACACGTTTCCAGCAGAGGTGCCGGTGCCAACGTGTTGCCGGAAATCACAGCTCCTCCCCCTCACATCACGCTCCACACCTTCCCGGGAGCACGGCCTCAAGCACACGCACACACAGACTGGCATTAGCACCAGATAACAAGTGCATTTCCTCGACCAACAAACGTGAAGTTGGAAGTGAATATGTGCATTAAGACTGAATGTGTTCTCCATGTTCTCCTCCTTGGCATGTCTCTTCCCTTCCTCCTCCTCCTCTTCCTCCAAACAAACTGTGAGTCATCTGATCCAAAGGGTGAGATGCAGCATTCAGGTGATTATTTTCGTCTTGCGGTGGTACATGAGGCAATCTTTTTGCATTTCCTTTGTCCTCTTTCATCCCCCTCCTTGGCTTTAGTCCTTCTGCGGGTGACAAGCTGCAAGTAGAGACCTTGTTGCCTGTGAGAGTTTTTTTGTGCAGTCTGAGGTCATGTCAGAACATGCTTCTTCCCCCCTGAGTGCACCTTGTATGAGTGCCCACATGGTCCTCTTCCATCTCCGCTTGCACGTCACGATTCTCATTATAAACGGCAGCTTGGTCGAATGGAGACTGTGTTTGTGCGTTTGTGTATCATCAATCGCAGGAGGTGGTTTCAGTCATAACGACCTTTTAATCACACGTTGTTGCAGAATCGATCACGCCACTATTTACTAAAAACATGTTGTTGAGTCATCAGGGACATGTGGACGTCAGTCTCTGTTCTTCCTCTCCTGTTGTCCCCGACCTTCTGTCTCAGGTTCACCTTTTCTTCCCTCTTGTTTCTTCCCCTTCAGGTTGTGGAAACAGCAGTATGAGCGGGGACATGTACAACGCCGGCTACCACGGCATCACCAACATAGACTACTCCTCCGTGTGCATCGGTACGATGAGCGACAGGTACAGCGACTGCGTGGGGATGACCTGGCATCAGATGGACGTGCGCCGTCTCTCCTTCCCCGACGCGTCCTTTGACGTCATCATAGAGAAGGCCACGCTGGATGCCATCATGGTGGAGGAGAAGACTCCTTGGGAGGTGTCTCCCCAAGCTGATGGTTTCATTCACCAAGCACTCACAGAGGTACGGTTACGTTTCTGTGAATTATGACAAGGGTTTGATATTTGTTGAATTGAGATTTCAAGCTTTATTGGAAATCCTTGGCAGCATTTCATTAATGCTTACACATTAAAAAAACAAGTTTAATTATGGCAGTGATGTAAGCAGATGAACCTTTCATCTGTGGGGTTTAATGTTAAAAGTTGGGCCTCACAGATCAGCTGGCTCGGAGTATTTAGCAGCACCTGATAAAGTCTGAGAATCAATTATACAAAACAAGCAAAACATATTGAATAAAGAGGCCCGGGTCTTCATCAAGCCTCTCCCATGTTCATGCCTCGGTTTTGGATGGGGCGGATGGGATGGTTGTAGTTCTCATACGCAGTTGAAGGGATAATCTGGATGAAAAACAAATCCTTAGCTCTTATCAAGTCGGATACACTAACTCCCATTGTTTGTTTAACTTCCATGCAAGTGGGAGGATGTTTTTTCTTTTGGAAGACCAACATAGATCATCCCGAGGAGAACGGCTTCTTGCACTATACTATGTTTTGTCCCTTTTTTACTCCAATGATGATTCGAACGCTCTGCTGCCGTGGGAGTTTATCTGTAAATTACCTCTCCTTGACAGTGAAATCGGTAACAGCGGCACCACGTTTCCACTCCATCTCCACAGCCCATCAATTGACTTACGCGAAGTCCATCGCCTTTCTGCAGCACTAAACACCACGTTCAATGCGACAATGACAATGTTTTGGCCATTAGCCATGCTCGACCTTGACACGCTGAGGCAGGAGAACGCTGCTATCAACTGAAGTAGGTGACTGCCGAGCTCTGAGTGTGGAATAATTACTCGTGATGTACTCACTGCCACATTCGGAGCACTGCTAAATGAGTTGTAATCCAAAGTTTAGTTTGTAATTACCGGTGTAGTGTAGGCTCAACACACAGAACGAATATATAATTACAGTACATACATTAGTGGGGAAGGTCAGGGTGTGTGAATCGTTCTAATGGAGGCAGTCAGCGAGGACAAAGTGCAAACTATGTTAATGGGAAAGAAATACAGGCCTGTTTACCTGATATCCTTTAGATGTCCATAAATGGAAACATTGTGGTGCATTTCGTTTGAAAATGTGTCCGTTAGTATTGGCTGACCGGTTTTTGCTGCGATGTTGTGTATTAGTGCCATAAACTGCTGCATGTGAGCTCATGTTCTGTGAGCGTAACCGGGGAGTCATGGACTGAGCTGCATGTGAGCCAAGATGTTAAAGATGAAGTCTGCCCGTAGTAAAGGGCACATACACAGAAATGCACAAAGGAGTAGACGGTGTGCTGGGTGTTTTGCTCTAACAGAAGGAAGTATTAACAGACGACCGGTGAGCACAGATGGGAGGATCTGACATCCCCTCAAAAGAAGTGGCGCCGAACTCAAGCAGCCGCCGTGCTTGAAAGTCATTACAGAGTCGAGCTGCTTCTGAGTCATCATCACCTGCTTCCCTTCACACCATCTCTTCTTCTCATGTATTTCTCTCACTCTGTTTTTCCCTCATTTCCACTTATGTTTCAGTCGCCTGCTGTAAGCTCATGGCTGCGTGGAGATGGTAAAGTGTGGTTGTGGTGCATCCTGTTTCTGCTGCACTGCGAGTGTTGTTCATCTTCGTGTGTGCAAATACCGAGGAGAGAGTGTGATCACAGAGAAGTTGATAGCACTCTACACTGGTGTATTTTTGCCTTATAGCACATAAGGTTACTGCAGTCACGTCGATGTGTGTGCAATATGCAGAAATGTAGGAGGCGACCTCAGAGCCCACTTTCATTTCTTGCAAAAAAAACAAAAACAATTCTTAGAACGAGAGACAGAAAAAGGCAGGAAAAGAGAAAAGGGTGAGAAGGAAAAAAAGAACCCACAATTATGTTATAAAGATTTTAAGATCCAAAGTATCTGTTTGGTTGCAAGAAATCAGAATCCTCCACACTACAAATGATTATTCAGACTCAATTCAGTTCTTCCTAAAATCAAAATGGGAAATTGTAGATCCACAACGCCTTTCTATCGTGGGTTCTATCGGGTTCTCTTCCTCCCTTTGGATACTCCAGACCCATGACAAACGGGATGTGCAAGAAGGTGCCCCCCTGTCAGAATCCGTTATCTGGAGATCCTGCCTGTACTCTGTGAAACCTTGTCATGCCTGAAAAAGGGATGCAGAAGTTCCGCGGCCCTACTTGGATGAGGTCACGTGCAGTTCAACGGCAGGTGTTTGTGAGGCCCGTTGAGAGTTGCCATAGTTTAAGTGTGAGACGAGTTAGAATGCTAAGCAATCCTCTAATGTATCGGAAAACACGGCACCCACCGACCCGTCATGGTCGGGAGGCTGATGTGATGACAGCGTCGTTGGCTGGTGAGAAACATTGACATTGATTGGTTGGACCTGGCTCCTGCCGAGGAGAGTTCTCCGACGCTCGCTCCATTACCAGGAAGCTTGGCTGTCTGCCGGAGAGACGCGCCCCCTCCCCTCCCCCCGGGGAAGATTTGTATTAGGCCACAACCACACACGTAGCATCACAGTCATAACGCACACGTACACACACACACGCAAACACACACAGCTCAAGTCTTATTTTTCAGACTTTCTGAAGCATTTTCCGGTAATGCTCACATAACATTTGACACTCATGTATTCCTGTGTGTGTGTGTGTGTGTGTGTGTGTGTGTGTGTGTGTGTGTGTGTGTGTGTATTTCCATCTCGATGCTGTATGAACCTTTTGTTCCAGGATAAAGTGGATTACACCAATCCACTTTATTGTCTCCATCCCTCTTTCTCTTTTCTCTCACTGTGTTCTGCCTCACCCCCCTCCATGTCCCTGTAAAATACAAAGATGGAATAGAGAATGCAAAATATAGTTTCATTTGTAGGCTCGACTTAAAACCCTTCACATTATCAACATTCAGTACCATCTGGATTTATGAAATGCTGCCATTTCTATATACCAGACATACGTATACATTTTGGGGTCCACTTTGCTGGCAGTTAAAAAAAACTTTTCAATCTTGAACCAAAACCGTGTACAAACCCCACGGCGTTTTGTGTTGCCTGGGCACTCGCCAATGGTCTGTTTGCCAAAAAAGAAAGCGAATGGGCCCGGCGTTGGGGTGCCAGCCCCGTCCTCGTCAGCCAGGAGTGGAACTTTTCTGGTGGCGCGCGTGTGAAAAGATGTGGCGATGAAAGCCGCGTCGTGAAGGTGCGTTTGTCAACGCTGGCGGAGCCTTTGCTCCCCCGTGGCGCTCGGCCGCACTGCATCTTCCGTGTGTCCTTACGCGTTGTTTTTGTGCGTTGTGTGTCAGGGGACGCGCGCTGGTGAGGGGAGGCCTGCCGGCTCTGAAGAGATTTTCACGCAGCTCAGGCATAATTCTCTGCACGCGCTCAGTCACACGCGCACACACACACACACACACACATACACATACACACACACACTCGCCACTGACGTTGGCAGATCGCCGGCCCCACGAGCACAAACACACACCGACACAACCATCCGAACAACACACACACACGCACACCACTCGATATACGTATTTAGCACCTGCTATAGTAAGTGTATATTAAAATCCCAGTTTATTAACTATTTCAGCCAAGCGGCTGCTTTTTTGTGATTCCCCTGTTTTTAAAGCATATTGTTCAATGTTTGAGAGACAAACACAGACACATGTGTGGTCTATGAGATTCAAACCATAAAACAGTTTTCCCACCCTTTGATCAGATTGTCTACACATTCCTCTTGTCCTCCGTCTCCGGTTTAATTCAAAGCCCTCTCTGTACTTTTCACCTCCTGCTCGCGCTTTCTATCTGTGAACACGTTTCTTTTTAATCCAGCGTTAAGGTTTGTCCCAGCTGTGAATAGGGAAGCCCCGGGAGCCAGACACAATCCCTCTGTTCCCCATCGCGCACACACTCTCCCTCCCTCATACTCACGCACACAACGACTGTTTCAAGTCTACAGTCTGCACAGATTTAACGTGTCCTCTACTGTGCTGACATGGCAGATGCAACTGTATTAAACCTGAGTCATTGCTAAATCCTATGAAGGGGATTGCGTGCTTGAGTGCACAGATCTCATGCATTAATACGTACTTGATGCATTGAGGAAGCCACACACACATTATTGGTTATGTGACGTTGCAGGTGGTAGAATTACTTTGGAAAACATTGTGTGACCTGATTGTTGTGCCTCTTTCCACAGGTCATACTCTGCAATCAAATCTGTGCACAGGACAAAGATTACAATCTATAAGAAGTGCTCTTATAGACATGATGGTTCATGTTAGCACATCACTGCGGGCGCATGTCTAAAGAGTAGGAGAACTAAACCCCGAACACACGCTGCAGTACAATCACAATGACAAAAGTGAGGAAAAGGGCAGAGAACGATGGTTGAATATGTTTGACGTTAAACTAAAGGCATTATTTTGCTTCATTAACTAATATTTTCCGCATACAACAAGTAAAGAAAACACATGATACAGAACATACCGCCGCCACTACAGGGAAGCCGTCCAGGTAAACATGGGACATGTGCAAAAACACACAGACTCACACAGAACGTCCTTCCCAGCTCACCGTTGCCTAGACAACTGGTATCGACTACAGAGCACTGTTCCTATGGAAACGATAGGTGCCTAAAGGAGGAAGATCATTAATTGGAATAAGGGAATATAGGAGAGAGGGATGATGAAGATAGAGACGAGAGAACGGGGACAGGAAAAGAGATGGACGGCAGGATAATGAAGGAGAAGGTGCAGCTCAGCCGAGCTCACACTTGAAAATAGATCATTACCGGGCTGTATTGGTGTAATTGTACTGTCCGTTTATCGTTCTGATATGGTATTGTGCATTTGTTTGTTCATCCAGGTGACACACGTTAAGCACAACCTGATAGGGAGGGGGAAATCCACTTTATAACAAAGGTGTGGAAAACCCTTGTATGCCACAGTGAAGGGAATTGGAGTGCACTGCTTGAAG